AACCCAAACCAATCTGGGATTTTATGATCCTATAAACAGTCACTTCCTTCACATACGTGGGCACGCGAGTTTATGTGAATATGCAAACGTGAGTGACCTCCCTCTCGCTTGCATGCACCCTTCACGTGGGTGAGCATTTGCTTGCGTCCTGTGCATGCTTACACACATGCTACTTATAGCAGCACACCTATCTACTGTTAAGCAATACCTGTAGCTATTGCTACTCCTCACACCAAGAGAACAACCGTGTGCATGCCCAGTCCCCTCAGGAATGTCTGTGTACATGCATGGGCAACTCACATCCTTGGCAAACATCCAGGTAACGGGCAGGTTGGGGGGGATGGCAAAGGGTACATCGCAGAGCAGTGTGACGGCTTCATCTGTGTGGACCTGCATGTCCTGCACTGGAAGCATTGACAGGCATGTGAGGCACATCTGCTCGTGCACATAGAGAATGTGCTCGTCTGCAACTGCACATGCTTGAGTGCTCGCAGCAGGGCTAGGCAGGCAAGCACCTTGGCATGCTCCTGGGCACTCATGGGCCCAAGCAGGCACATCCACACCCAGATGCGTGCGGGGGCTCTGCCTGGGTGCCTGGGTCCTTTGCCCCATACCTGGGCAGTCCACGGGGAGCTTGCAGTCCATGATGCGGCAGGTAGCACACTGGAAGACGCGGGAATCAGGCTGATATCCTGGGATGGAGACACTCGGTGGTCGCAGAGGGATGGGAGATGGACTTGGGAACAGGGGGTGGCAAGAGAGAGGGACGCGCACTCACCACAGGGCGGGATGCAGGCTCGAGCTAGTGGGGGGGAAGCAGCATTAGACTGGGGATCACTGGGGATCCACATCCCTGTGAGGAGCTGTCAGGGCTCAGCCGTTGTCCAGCCCTGATGGGGTCCCTCGGGCTTCTCCACCAGTGTGGGGACCCAGGAATGTAGATGTCCAGGATGGGTGTCCTTGTGACAGCCCCTTTCCCGGGCTCCCCAGGGTGGGATTCCCAGGTGTGTGTCCCCACTGGCCCCATACCTTCCTCCAGCTGGCTCAGCTTCACCCAGATTGTGTTGACGGCTTCCTGCAGAGACACCTCAAAAGACTCTGGGATGTCCCAGATAACAGATAATTGTCCCAGGTGAGACAATTCCCCACCACCACTTTGGATGCCCATAAACCTTCTCCAGACGTCGGCAGATCTCCTGTACAGCTCACCTCAACCCTGTACATCCATCCTGGAGTACTCCCCTCAGAAGCCCACAGAAGCTGTACACCTTGAAGCCCATACACTCTCAGGATTCCCCAGATATCCCCTTACAGCCCACAGACCTGCATATAGACCATATTTCACCACACCCCCCATTCAAGGCCTCCACGTTCCATCCCCCATGCCCCAGCCCTACCCCCTCACACGTCCCATGTCCCAAGCTCACTCTTGTCCTTCTCCCTCTCCAGAAAATTCAGGGCCTCCAATACGATCTCCTGAAGTGCCTCGTGCTGCTCCGACCCTGGGAGCAGTACAGGGGTATTGGGACCAGTACAGGGACACTGGCACCAGTACATGATTGGGGTTGCAGGTTCAGGGATGGGAGGGTCCAGTAAGGGCTGGGCGTTTCTGGGACTTCTGGAGTCCTGATGAGGGTTTCGGGATAGTGGAAAGGGTCAGATATCCCTCAGGGTCCTTGAGGTCCCAGGTAGGGCCCGGAGTCCTCACTGTGTTCCTGATTCTCAGGGTCTCAGGCAGGGTTGGGGTTCCCGGAGGTCCCTGGGGTCCAGGTCAGGACTGGGGAGACATTGGCATGGCTGGGAGTTCCGAGGGTGCTCGTGTGGGGAGGGTCCCTAGGGTTCCTGTTTAGGAAAGAGGTCCCCAGCTGCCCTGGGTCCTGGCCAGTGTCAGTGTGAATGCCTTGGTTGAGGTAGGGCTCTGGGCTCCTGTCCGGGGCTGGGGGTCCCTGGCAGGACGGAGGTGGCAGTCGGGGGGTGGGGGTGTCCTTGGGGTCTTGTCACTCACCCACAGAGACAGAGGCGAGCGGCACAGCAGCCCGCGCAAGAGCCTCAAGGCAGCGGCGGTGTCGGGGGTCGTTCCGAGGGGCCCCAGTAATGTCACGGCAGAGGCGTGCCAGCTGAATGGGGTGCGAGAAGCAGAGCAGACAGGGGTGCACCCCAGGGAGCCAGAACACCAGGGACACCCACTGCCACAAGCCAGGTCCCCTTGGCTGGGTGCCTGGCTTTCCAGGGAGCCAGCGGGCCATCACCAGCATCAGGGGCACCCACCACCACCCCATGGCCCCAAAGCACAGCACCCAGATGCCTGGGTCCCCACGGAACAGCAGGGCTGCTAGGCGGAACCTGGGTGCCTAGGTCCCCACGGAACAGCAGGGTTGCTAGGCGGAACCTGGGTGCCTAGGTCCCCACGGAACAGCAGGGTTGCTAGGCGGAACCTGGGTGCCTAGGTCCCCACGGAACAGCAGGGTTGCTAGGCAGGTCCCAGACACCTAGGTGACCTTTTAAGAGTAGTGGGGATACAGGGGGACCCTTGAGTGTGTGGGCTGGAGAAGGAGCTCCAATCCCTTCATTTGGTTCCCCCAAATCCTCATTAGTTGGTGTCCCTCTGTTAGGGGAGTCATGACCTGGTGGTCAAACTAAAGGGCAAGAAGGAAATGTACTGGCAGTGGAAGCAGGGACAGGAGTACAGGAACGCATTCTGGTTGAGTAGGAACGAGGACAGGAAGGCCAAGGCACAGTGAAGCTGAACTTGGCAATGGATGGAAAGAATAATAAGGGCTTTTACAGGTAATGTCAGCCTGAAAAGAAGGCCAAAGACAAAATGCCCTCTGCGAAACAGGACTGGCAAAGTGGTTACAGTGGAGGAGGCTGCAGAAAAGCAGACCTAGTCATGTTAAACTGTTCTTTTCTGACTGGTAATGATTGAGCTGGGTCCCCAGAACACTGCCAAGCAATGACACACTACAGACTTTCTGTGCTTGGATTGGCATTTCTCAGTTTAGACTGCAGCACTTGAAGCCACATTGTCAGGGGAATTTACAAAAAGCTTAACTCAAAAAGCACTGAGCCCTTTTAGTAGCCCTCAAGGATGTCAAACATCGTTTCTCCGCTCCCCGGTGCACACTCTGACATGTCTAAAACCGGTGGGTTGGCCAAAGCAGTCAACTGAGGTCCTCATGGGACTTAGCTCCAAGTACGCAGGAGCTAGCGCACCAAATACAGGCTCCATCTGCTCCCACACACAAGGTGCCAGGACACAAAGCTGTTGCTGGACCTCACCTTCCCTTGGCAAGTGCTGGAACAGCCCCAGCAACACTGGGAATCTGTGCTTGCTCAGCTAATTTATGGTCCTTTGAGCTTGTTCACTCTTCCCAGAGCCCAGCTCCCACATGCAAAATATCCAGTGGCTGCTCCCACATAGAAGGTGCCGGGACTGAAAGCTGTTGCTGGGCTGTCCTGGGTTTGGCTGAAGAGAGTTAACTTTCTTCTTAGTAGAGGGTACACTTCTGTTTTCTGGATTTGTGATGAGAATTATGTTGATAAACACACTGATGTTGCAGATGGTTTTAAAGAGCGCTTGTTGTAAATCAAGGCTGTTGCAGTTTCCAAAGCTCTTCCAATGATGAGGTGCACAAAAAGATGGCAGGGAATATAGCCAGGACAGCTGACCTGAAGTAGCCAAAGAGCTATCCCATACCTTAGAACGTCATGGGCTTAAAGCATGGAAGAAAGCGCAGAGCCCCGGTGTCAGTGGGGCTGTGAGAGGACTTCCAAGGGAAGGAGAGAGCCAGCGTCCCATTTCTGTCCCAGCACCATCCGTGTGGGAGCAGCCGCTGGCCGTTTTCAATTTTGGAGTTGGGATCTGGTGGGATTGAAAGAGCCTATAGGTGTCTAAGGAGGCGCAGAGCTGCAGTGCTGGCGGGATCCCCAGACGGTCAAGGAGTGACCTTCACTTGCTGTACTTGGAAAGGAGTATGTTGGGACCCGCGTGAGAGCAGGTCAGGCTCGGCTTGAGTCAGTCGGAGACAGTTCCAGCCAGTTCCAAAGCAGCTGTGAGCAGCCATGGCCTGCCAAAGGTCTGCCAGTCAAGAGGAGTCCGCCACTCCCACTGCAGACACCTTAGGTAAGAGAGGCAGGAAGAAGCAGGGAAGGGCGGAAGGGAGTGCATAAGAACTTCCAGTGGCGTTTCATGGAATCACAGAACATTTTGGGTTGGAAGGGACCTTAAAGCTCATCCAGTTCCCACCCGTGCCACAGTTCCACACCTTCCGCTAGAGCAGATTGCTCCAAGCCCCATCCAACCTGGCCTTGAGCACTGCCAGGGATGGGGCATCCTATGTGGGCACATGGCAGGGGTGAGCCCCAGCCTGGAGAAGTGCCCTCCTGGTCAGGAGGCAGTGAGGGGGGGCAGCTCCCTGCAGACCCTGTGCACTGCAGAGCCTCCCCTGGCAGGGTCTGCGTGCAGCCCCTCTGTGAAACAGGCTGGGGTTACAGTGGACAGCCCCACACCGCAGAGGTGACCAGCCCCTTACCTGCATTGTGACGTCCCTCTGTGAAACAGGCTGCCCCACACCGCAGAGCTGACCAGCCCCTTACCTGCATTGTGACATGCATCTGCCACACAAAGCCCGGTGAGGCCACGGGACTCCTGCTGAGGGCTGCGCTTGCAACGCTCTGCCCCAGAGGAGCTGCTCTGCAGTGAGCAGAAGACAAAAAGAGGGAGCAGCACAGCAGTGGGATCGGTGAAAGGCATAAGAGGAGGAAGAGAAGGAAAAGGAGGAGAAGAACAGAGAGGAGGAGGCTTTTTGCAGGAAGAAAGCAAGCTGTTGGCCAGCCTATTGCTGCAGCTGTTGACCTGGAACAAGGGTGCAACTACCATGGCAAAAGAGCTCCTCTTGCCGCCTCACTTGTCTCTAACAACTGAGAAGCTCAGGAGTTCTGGTAAGGCCTCCAGTGCCAATTCCGTGAGTGTGTCGGGTCAAGGCCATCTCTGAAAAGAGGCATGGCAACCCTGAGGGCTGTGGGGTGGCTGCTCAGGACTGGTGACTGCAAGGAGGGACCTGCTTGATCATCCCTAAGGGCTGAGGGGCTGATTTGGCGGCCAGGACTCCTGGTTCTCTTCCTGACATGGCACCTGCCTCCTGGCGCACCCCAGGCAGAAGCCCCTGGCCCCAAAGGGCTGCTCCTTGCCTGCTGGTGGTCATTGCCCGCCCTGAGTTCATGTCTGAGTGGAAGAGCTGAAGGTGCTCGTGGGCCATGCAGCGTGTGTGCATTCAGAGATGCAACACAGGGAATCTGGCCCTGCTGGGGAGACACCAGGGCTCAGCCTGAGCCTCCGAGACTTCCGTGGAGCAGAGCACCGTGCCCGCTCTGGTGGGGCCATCAACTGCCGGTTTCCTGGGGGACTGCGTCAGGCTGAGGTGTCCTTTGGCTCCTGAAGGGCTTTAGTGAGACCACCTGAAAAATGTGTGTTAGAAACACGTGGGTCCTCGGACAGGGGTGGGCTGAAGGGCTCTGCGGCGCTGCCCCCCCAGGATGACATGTCTTCCCCTTGTTTTCCCAGAGTTCGCTAAGATTTGGGACAGTGCATCGTGTTACCTCAGCCAACAGCTGGCTCTGCACCAGGTGGGACTGGCCTCCTCCTCCTCCTGCCCTCACATCCTGATGAAGGTTGATGCAGTCCTTTGCTACGGAGGACGATTGTTCTCCCCCTCCTTTGAAAGCAGGAATGCCCCAGCTCGACGCTGCAAGGCACAGATGTGCACGGACTACCTCCTGTGTCCATTCGGGTCTACAATAAGGTCCAGGAGTAGTGTCAGAAAAAGGGGTTGGGCTTTTTCTGGGGCTTCTGGAGTCTCCACAGTCAGAGGTGCATGACAAAACTTGGAGGACCGAGGCACGTTAGGCTTTATTCCAAGTGTGAGACAACCAAAGGATGGTTTTCAGCTTGTCAGCTGAAAGCTTCCTCTCAGTTTCTTCATGGATGAAGGGGAGTGAGAGGGAAAAGCACAGGCCCTGTTTGTCTTCTCCCAGGGTTTCCAAAGAGCCACTTTTGCTCCTTTGTACCTCAGGCCTGGGCAGGACACTAAGTACCATCACCATTCCCTGAAGAGTCTTCGCCCTGTCCCTCGAAGTCTTCTTCTGATCCACCATCTCCTCTGTTTCAGGATGTCCACATTCCTGGACTTGGGACTTTTGCGGTTGTCAGTCAGCAAGTAGCTAGCAAGAAAGACCTGGTGGTAGTGGCGAGGCCTGTGTTTCGTCTTGCAAACACTATTATGCAGGACCATGGCCTCCGATACAGTCACACCGACGTTCCTGGTAAGCAGACAGGCTGTGAGCAGTGCTCGTCCTTGAGCAGAGTGGGGAGGTGCGCTCTGCTGTCCAGAGCAGAGCGCCAGCCTCCTGCTGCAGTCTGAAAACAGCTCCAGCTCGACAAAACCAGCCTGCTAAGGAAAGGAGCCTGCCTACTGATATGGTTTAAATAGTCACCAGAAGACAGTACAGCATAACAGCACGTGCTCTTTGGCCTGCTTCCTCCAGTGGTTTCCTTCCCGTTCTGTTGGTGCCGTGTCTTCTCCCTACGCGGTGTTTCAACCCTTGCTCCCCCTTTCTGCTTTACTAGGCCTCAAACAGGCAAATGCCAGGGTTCTTCCTCGCGGCCCTAAAGCCGGGGGGGAAAGATGATTCATTCCAAATCCCAGTGACCACAACGCCTGTTGCTATCTGGTTGCTGCAGCCGTTGCAGCAGGACCCTGGGAGCACCAAGAGCTTGGATCTGTGTTTGGGCTGGGTTTCTCTCTAACGACAAAGAGAGCACAGAGTCTGGGCAGGGCTCTGATGGCCTGGCCGCCTCAGCTTGCTGCAGCACCTGGGGCCTTTCTCCCCTCCTTGTCCTGCAGCCGTGGTGCTCCTTCCTACCAAGCACCAAAGACTCTTTGCCTTTCGGTATCAGACAGCCATAGCTGTCCACTGCACACCTTGCTTCCCACTTCTAACAGCGAGGGGCAGCCCAAGCTTCTCCTGAGAGGCGCTGCACCAGCTGGACAACTCAGTAGCAATGTATTGCCTGACGGCCTGGAAGCTGCAGACCTTTGGCTGTAACCTGCTCAGCCGCTCTCCAAGTTTGTGGGTTCCCCTTCTCTTGCTTTTCAGGTCACCGACGTGTTGAACAACTGCCGTGCGCTCGGATAGCCTCAGACAACGCTGTCTCTGAAAGCGCAGTGCGGTTTTGCATTGAAAGGACCATCCGTCTTTTCCAAGCCTGCCTGGAGAACAGGCAGGACGTTGCCCTCGTTTGGAGGGCCGTGGCCGTGGTGATCATCCAGGGCAAAGACGTGCGCACAAAATTTTACACGGACTTTCTGCAGCGGCTGAACGGGACTGACAAGATGTTGCAAGCTCTTCTGGAGGTAGGACGGTCATTTTCACAGCCCCACTCCTGCTTCTTCTGAAACGTGTTCTGGGGCTGGCGGGCTGCTTCCTCCTGGCCTGCCGTGCCCTCTACAGCCACTTGGGCTCCTCATGGCCCACAGAACAGCAGGCTCTCTGCAGAGCATTTCCCTTGCCGGCGCTGGTCTGGCTCTGCGAGAGGTAACCCCCAGAGGGGCCTCACGTGGTGACAAAAAGCTGGCGTTGGTGGTGGGGAGCACTGCTTGAGCCACTCTCAGGCCAGAGAGCAGAGGAACAGGCAGAGCAAGGCTTGCTGAGGCCAGAGCCCTTTGGCTGCTCTGGCTTTTGGCTTGTGTTGGTATAAGGTGGACTGAGCAGCCAGCCTTTCCCGGTGTCCCCATGTCCCATCGTCTGTCTCCGTCCTCATTGCAGATGCCAGAGATGAGGGACTCGGTCATCTCGTCCCGTGACACTGCCGCCTCCCAGACCTCTCTGGGACATGTTATTGTTCTACCAGGGTAGGTTTGCAGCTGCAGCCCTTGGCTGAGGCAGTGAGCAGCTTCTCAGCTCCTGCTGGGAGGACTGCCTTGCCAGGAGCCGAGAACTGCACTCGTGATGGTATTGAGGACGGAATGTTTCAGAGCATTGGCAGGGACTTCCCTGCTTGCTCTTGTTCGGTTTGACTTTCTTTGGAGGAATGGGGGACAGTGACAAGGCTTTATGCATCTGTCCTACTATGGACCTAGAGAGGCATTTAGGCACTATTTTCCATCAGGTTTCTCCGGCTCTTTTGCCTTCCTGTGCATGAGACTGCCTTCTGCTTGGGGGCAAGGGATAGAGGGGTGATTTCTGGTCCAGAGAGGAGCTTGCATCTGGTGGAGTTCTGCAGAGCTCTGTCTTGTGCCCCCATTACTGTGCAGTGCCATCGACAGCTGAGGGGAAGGAGGTGACTCCTTACTGCTTATAAAGGCATTAATCTGCGAGGCTCTACAAGCAACTTTGGAGGACAAGATCAGAAGTCAGAAGGGTGTTGGATAATCAGAGCACTAGGGATTAGAGTGCTCTCTATGTGCACTCTGCACTCTGAGGAAGAGAGGAATCAGTTTCCCCAGAAGCAGCAAGGGGGTTTTGTGGGAGGATGCCTGTTCTCACAGAAAGGATGGAAAAACACTGGCCCAGGGAGGCGGGCCCTTGCCTGCCCCTCCAGGCACTGCAGTTCCGACTGTGGTCCTCTGGGATGGGCTGCCCGGGGAAACAATGCAGCGACTTTTGTTCAGCCTGGTGCCTTCTTCCTTTGTCCAGGTACAAGCTTGGGAGCGTGGCTAAAATGCCAGGAGTGAAAGCTGACCTGAGAGGGCATGTGAATGCCACCCCAGAAGGCAGGGGAAAAGGTTTTAGTAGTGGAAAAAAAGGTGAGAGACCAGAGGGTTGCTAGCAGGGGGGTGTAGGTTTTCCTTCGTCCGCCTCTGGAGGCGATTAGAGCTGAGGTTACCCCAGGGTGCCTGGAAGAGGGAGAGGCACCGCCTTTGACTCTCTGCACCCATTATGGGAAAGCTCCAGTGACCCATTGTGGAACAAGGGCTGAAGACAGCCCTGCCCCACAGCCACTGGGGCTGCTGAGGGACATCTTCTCAGTGGCTTCCGCTCCCCAGCCTGTGCTGCAAACAGTGTAAAGTTCTTATCCTGCTTCTTTCCATCGTATTCTCAGATGTCTTGGAAGTAATGCCTTTTGTGTGAACCTGCACCAGCAGCAAGCCTGTGTGCATGGGGCCAATCCAGACATCCAAGAGCTGGCAGCTCTTGTGCTAAATGATTCCTCTCTCCAGAATGACTCTTGGAGACCACCAGCATCTCCCAGAGAAACCCCCCCACCCCTGCACATGGATGAGAGAAAGCCATCAAAATAGGGTTTCCCCAGGGAATACTAGTGCACTGTAGGCAGGAGGAGCTGGATGGAAAGACAATGTTGGAAGAGGCCTAAGACCTCCTAGGAAACAGGACTTTCATCCAACGGGATGGAAAGGACCACCTTCATCAGTGTTAGCAGATGCTTGGTAAACCTGCATGTCACCCACGTTGGAACTGGGACAAAACAGGCACGCTGTTCCCAGAACAGCACCAAGATAACTGCCTCCTTTCCTGTTTTCTAGAGGATCTTCCCGAGAAGAGCCTCCTTCATCGAGCAAAGCTGGCTCCAAATCGGTTGTCTGCAATAACTGCAAAGTCAGAGCAGGCTCAGAAAGCTGAGGGGAGTGAGCCCCCTGCCAGGTGAGACACTCGCATCCATGGCTGAGAGGGACCCTGTGCTGGGAGTGAGGTGCTTCTCCTGGACACAGAGGCTAGAGAAACTCAGAGTGGGGTTTATGCCACGTCCCACTAACGTTTGCTTGGTCTATGGCAAGTGCCTTGTAGCTTCTTGGGGCGCTGCTGGCAGCATGATTTCTTTCTTCTGGTGTGCAGATGTGCCGAGTACCTGGCTACAAATGCCCATTCCAGGAGCAGAAGGTCTTTCTGTCTTTCCCTTCAGAGTGGAATGACCCTGACTTTTCTGTTTGCTGACAACAGTGCTCTGCAGTGAGTTACTGCAGAGGTTTCCTCTGATTAGCCAGAAGCCTCTTCTATGCTAGTGCCTGCCTTATGGCTGGCAAAAGAGAAGGTCCAAAGAGAGCTCAATGGCAGGATGGCTTTTCTCATGGGGTCTTGTCCTCTGTCTTTTGAGACTGTGTCTTCAGTGCCCAACATGCTCCCACAGCCCGTGAGCACTCTGTAGTTCAGAGCACTGAGCAGACTCCAGCGCACTGACCTGGGGGTATCTCTGGGTATAGGACCCTGTCCCTCTCATTGCTCTGGCAAGAAAAGGCTTAGACCTGGGCATCCTGAGATTTAGTGGGGCTGTTGGGCACATTGGAGCCTGAGAGCTTGGGGTCTTCTCTGTCCCTGAGGACTCGATCCCAAGAAGGCAAGTAGAGCGCATTCTGCTGCAGAAGCACAAGATGCCAGAACCAGCTCCTCCTGCACTCCTGCCAATACACCCTGTTGTATCTTTGCAGGCAGCTGATGCCCACCCAGGGAACCATCTTGAAGGAAGAGGAGGAGAAAGTGTTTCCTGGGGGTGCAATCAGAACAGTGGACTTCATTGCCAGAGCGATTGAGACGAGAGAAAAGGTACGTGACATGGGCTGCTGCAGTGGCTGTGCCGTACTGGACTGTAGAGAAGCATCGCTCCGTGCATATCAACTCTTACAAGATGCCTCACAGTGTGTTAGCAACCGACTAGTTGCTTTGAGGCTTGCATGAAGAGAGGAGGGTTGCCGTGTCATTTGAGAATATCCTTTTCATTTTTTCACTTCCATTAGCCTCACGAAGCATCCCAAAGACCTTCCTTGTGGATGTTTCTGTTGGCAGTGTTGCAAGGCTTGGCTGGGATAGCCAGCTGCCAGGTGGTTTCTAGCCTGGTGGCCACTTAGCGCCTTGGGCATTACAGACAGGGTCTTAGGTGGAGCCTGCAGGAACCTGGGAGAACACCAGTGCGGACAGAAAGGCAGAAGAGAAGGGGCAGAGTGGGTAGGAATGAAACCAGCTCAGCTCTCTAGAGGGCAGACTAATGCTGCCCGCTGTTGCATTTTGGTCACCCTCCAGGCTAAACAGTTAAAGAGGAGTCAGAAGTTTCCAAAACACATCCAGAAATACTTGGCTGAGAAGAAGAGAAAAGAGCAGATGGAAGAGAAAATAAGAAAACATCAAACCGTGCCAGCAACTGGAGCGAAGCCTGGGAGAGAAGAGGAGACACTGAAAAGCCAGGTACTTTGAATTCCTGCAGAAAAAGAGCACGTTCCCCTTCAGGAAGACTGAGATTGCGCTGTACCTCTTGCACCCAAGCCAGCACAGTAGCGATGCTACAGCGAAGCTGAGTGGGTGACTGCTGCTTTTCTTGAGCAAGAGGGGTGACAGTAGTAGTGAGACCCTGGTGACCCTCAGGCGTCACCCCAAGGGTGTGCTGAGGTTGTTCTCCTGGTGTTTCCTGTCCCACTAGTGACCTGAAGTGATCTGGGGGTCTGCATGCTGGGAAGTGATACCCTGGGGGTGTGGGGCTGTTGTATGAGAGTCTTTTCCTGTGGAGGAATTCAGCACCTCTGAGCGATCATCAGTCTTCTCTCTGACTGGCTGGGAGATGGAGGAGTTGAGCACCACCTTCATGGGCATGATGACGAAGGATTGGGAAGATGCCGGGGAAGAGCCACCCACAGTCCCTGAAGAAGACCCTGTTCCCCCTAAGCGGTAGTGTACCAGGCCCAGCCGAGGCCTGGGGCAGTGGGGTGGTTGTGTGCCATAGGCGGTTGGTCAAGGAAGCCAACCGCTGGGGCGTGGGGCCACATGGAGGGCCTGGGAATTTCTCCAGCCACGGGAATGAGAGACTTTGTCCTTGCTGTTGCAGAAGCCTTTCCCCACGGACAGAGCGGGCCCTGCGGGAGGTGGTGACGTGCATTCTGAGGCATGTCGCCCGCAAGCGCAGGAGGCAGAGGGATGAGCAGGCAGATGTGCAGGACAAGCTCAAGTGGTAAATCTCTCCAGGCACGGGCAGTGCTTCCTCTCCTGCAGTGCCCGTCCTCCCCGTGCCCGCAGCAGCCGGGGACAGGGGCACTGCTCTGGGCCTCTTGGCAGAGCCGCCTTCTGCAGCTGTGGCAGGCGCCAGCCTGGGAGCCCCGGCTGGAGCGCGGCTCCGTGTGCTCACACCTCCTCCTGCCCTCCCGTCCGCAGCGAGCTGGCGGTGCTGCAGTGGCAGCGTTCGGGGAGAGAGGTAGGCAGCAGCCAGCTGGGGGAAGATGGACCCCGACCTGCACCCCCTGCTTGGCCAGGGAAGAGGACGGCAGGACCGGTACGTGCCATGGGCTTGTGCAGGGTCTCTGGCGTATCCACCTGTACAAGAGCACCGTGCCATGCATCTGGTGTCTAACAAGGGCACTCACCCTGTGCTTAGCTGAAAGCTGAAGCCCTCGTCCTCAGAAGTTTTCAGGTTGTTCTGTCCATTCAGAAGACAGCCTTCACTCTTGCCACCTCCAGAAACACCCAAAGACTTGATCTGGAGGTGTCTTAACGGCGGTGGCCCTGCCAGGCTTGGCCAGGATAGGAAGCAGCTACGTTGCTTTCAGCCCCGTGGTCACTTGGCTCGGGGATCGTTGCAGAAAGACTCTGCACTCAGGCCTGTGTGGACTAGGCCTATTAGACAGCAGTGCTGCTGCTGAGAAGGACCTGGGAGTATTGGTGGATGACAGGCTGACGTGAGCCACAGTGTGCCCTTGCAGCCAGAAGGGCCAATAGCATCCTGGGGTGTACTGGGAGCAGTGTGGCCAGCAGATCGAGGGAGGAGAGCCTCCTCCCTTTACTCGACCGTGGCGTGGCCACATCAGGAGCGCTGTGTCCAGTTCTGAGCTCCGCAGTACAAGAAAGTCAAGGAGCTACTGGACAGTGTCCATCACAGGGCCCCAGAGATCGCTATAGGTCTGGAGCATCTCTTATGGGAAGAGATTGCGGGAGCTGGGCCTGTTTAGTCTGGGGAAAAGAAGGCTGAGGGTGGATCTCATTAATTCATATCAATGGCTCAAAGGTGGGTGCCAGGAGGATGGCGCCAGGCTCTTTTCAGTGGTGCCCAGCAATGGGACAAGGAGTGATGGCCATAAACTAAAACACAACAAGTTTCACCTCAACGTGAGGAAGAACTTCTTTCATTTGAGGGTGGCAGAGCCCTGGAACAGGCTCCCCAGGAGGGGCTGGAGTCTCCCTATCTCGAGACATTCAAACCCCACCTGGATCTGTTCCTGTGTGACCTGCTCTGGGGGGCCCTGCCTTGGCAGGGGTGTTGGACCGGATGATCTCCAGAGCTCCCTTCCTGCGCTGATGATTCTGTGCTTTTGTGACTGCAAGCAAACCAGGGCTGGTGGAGAGGCTGGAAAGAAGGGGCGGGAAGGAGGGGAAGAGCTAAAATTCCCCCAGCCCTCTGCAGGGGAGACTGACAGTGCCCACTGCTGCATTGCCATGGCCCTGCAGGTGCCGGTCTCCGGGAGCGTGGAGGAGGAGGAAAAACGCAAGCTCTGGGACTCGTTGCGCAAGAAGTACCAGCAGAAGACGAGGGCGAAAGTGGCACCCCGGAAGGCATGGAATGCAAAGCAAGAGCAATGGGAGGTCCAGGTACTGCCGCAGGGAAAAACAATTAGGAAAAGAGCATTCCTGTCCTCCAGGGAGCCAAGGTCCCTAAGGCATAGGAGCGTGGGGGCTGACTGTCCTCTGGGGACTGCACCAGCTCGAGGCACCTTCCCATTGCCCAGCGACAGCGCCGCTGCTCACCTCTCTCTGTTCAGGGTCCTGCATTCGTGGCATTCCCACGTGCTGGCAAGACACCAGGAGAGGATGAGGAGAGCCCAGAGCACAGTCTGAGTCTTTGCCCTTCGCAGTACTCATATGTGCAAAGGTGAGTGTGGACCAGCTTCAGGACAGACCTGGGGCAGCTGGGGGCTGATGGCCCAGCCAGGAGGGGGGGAAGTAAACCCCAGAGCGATGGGTCTGGACAAGGATCGGATCCTTTCTTTTCTCACGGGCTCAATCCCCGATGCCTGGTGCCTCTCTGCAGCCCCAAGCACAGTCAGCAGTGTGGGGTTGAGTGGGACCATAGGGTGGGTATGACTGGGAGAGGGGAGAGGCAGGAGGGTCTCGGTCAAGATGTGAGACTTCCTCCTCGTTGTGGTAGGAGACTTTCCCCAGGGACCCAGTGGGCTTTGCGAAGAGCAGTGACCCGCCTCCTCAGGAAAGTAGCGGAACAGCGTTTCTGTGCTGGTGATACGCGGATTGACTCCACAACTCGTTAGAGTTGTAAGGTAGGTATGCTTTATTCGGCGCTGAGGCGCATGGGGGTTTCTCCTCCAAAAGCATGCGCGCCCCTCTTTGTCACTCAGTTCGTTTATATTGCATATAAACATGAGATTGCTTCACACCTAATCCATATGCAAAACCTATTCCCGTCTAGTATTATGATCAGTTTTCTGGCATTTGTCCCATTGGTGCGCCTGCGCAGTGCCTCCTGGTGGTGGTCGTTAGGGGGTCGTGAGGATGAAGGCCTGTAGTTCCTCTTCATCACCGCGAGTAACCTCTTGCTTTTGCGCAGACTCAATAGCGTTTCGGCTCCTGTCCAAACCTCAGGTTCGGTACAAGCCGGTTTTGTGTATCTTAAAGCAGAAACTTGTCAAGTTTGTAAATTTTGTTACTCTGGCTATCTTTTGTCCCTTTTCTCTCTAAAGATACTATTTGAACAAGAATGTCTTAAATATTAAGCTATGAATCTTATCTACTACAATTCTGCCTAGCAGCTGTAACTTCTACAATTCTGCTTCATCATTCTAACAAATTTGACTTCTATGGTTCTGCTTTACCAAGCACAGCGACCGTTTAAGCAAGCAGGCACAATGTTAACCCTTTATTTCCCGGTATCAGTGGTGAGGAGGAATCCCTCATGTAAGGATGACCAAGCATGCCCCTTGCTCAGCACTGCCCTTTCTTCCTTTGACTTCCTGCAACTCCTCGGCCAAGAGGGGCTTCTCCGGACAGCTCTCATGGTGTGGAGCGCTGCAGGCTGGGATCGCATCCCAGGCACCATGGATCTGATCTCTCCAGCCAGAAGCGGATCTCACCACATGTGTCCTGACTAGAGCTGTCGTGTTGCTCTGCACCTCTCTCTGCACGCAGGCCTCCAGAGCTTTGTATTCAATTCCTCAGCTCTGGGGAGCAGATCCAGTGCACAACGGCGGGATCCAGGAAAGCCTCTGAGGCACAGAGGCTCCCAGGATTGAAGTCCAGCAAAAGCCTCCTCCAGGATCACAAGCAGCAGCAGTGCCGGCCAGCCAGGCTGTTAGCAGCAATGCTTCCATCTGATCAGTAAAGACCTCTATGCAAAGCACTGTCTCTGACACGGGGGGTCTTTCCTTGGTGGCTGTGAAACACACACTCAGTGGGGGATGAGCTTTGGTGGGGCAGGGCAAGGCCACTGCAGGACAGTGTAAGCGGTGAGGAGAAGCAGACAGGCCAACCCAATATGGGTGATAAGCAACTTCTAGTTTATTTGTGACGCAGTTCACACATATATAGGAGTGGTATTCAGCCACTCCTTCTTGGCATAACAGTATTGGTTAGCCCCCACAGCTTCCTCCACATTCTCCTCCCAGGTCCGGTCTCCGGCCACCTGTGGGGGCCACCCCCTGCCTTGCTTGCACAGTCCTCCAGAACTCTATGGTCCTGCTCTTAAGAGTCATTCTGCAACAATTCCCCCCTTTTTCTTTGTGCAAGCAAGGCATTATGGGTTATTCTGTTCACCTGTTTTATCACACAACTATAAACAAGCCTAATAGCTACGATGATTAACCTAACAAGGATACATAAGTGCAATACTTTTAAACAGTGTTTGACTCAACCTGTAATGCCCCGTGAAGACAACCATCTAGTTATTCTTAGGATATTGCTCATTTCCTATTGCTGGGTAAGCTGAGCCAGGGTTCTCAGCTGTGCGTACATCGAATTAGCATAATCAGAGACTCATACAACACATTCCATCAAACTCTTCACATCCATGTCCCTGTTCCAACAACAAAAGGTTCTGCAGTGTTGCATGTCTTACAGAGTCAACATTAAAACAAATCAGGAATTGCCTTCGATGTAGAATTGTCTGCTTAGCAACTCAGCAACCCAGTCTGCTTAGTTGAGCTGAAGCACTTACAGTGATTTGGCATATTATGATTGGATCCATGTTTTGAAGACCCTCAGTGACTAACATATAATTGGTTAAACGCAGGTGTGAGAACTCAACCCTGAAAGCTTGCCAACAGTCCACAGTTCTCATTAGCTTGGTGAATTCCAGCCTCTTATCTTGCTTGCTTAAGCTTCCTCGGGCCTCCCACGGCCCCGCGGTATCTTTCAGGACCATTCAAAGTTTATGTACCAATTACCCATTCTCCTGTGAGAACACTGTCTCCACATCTTCCCCCTTTTGTTTTCTCCAGTAACGAGTCGCTACTACAGCAAGGCACACATAAATTTACATTAGCAGAGTAACTATTACAGGGTGCAGCAGCATGTCGAAGATGCTGATGGCAGTGAAGGACTAGCCAAAGAAACTTCTTACCAGTGGAATTCTCCCCCCCCTTAATTTGTTCCATCACCTCCCTTATAACACTACCATTGTATTAAAATTTTTCTAGCTTTTGCCTTAGCATTTTCTAGCAGCTACTGCAAATTTCCATACTCTAACATCTCTTTTACAAGTGACAAATCTATACAATACAAGGTGCAGTTTCTTATTAGCAACTAGCTAGTAAATACAGGTGGTTTTATACACAAAATCACAACCTCTAATAATAGCTACTTTACAAGCACACATATTCAGGATGTTACTTTTCAGTTGCCCCCAAGTGATGTTTTGCAGTCATTCGTTTTTCTCTTCCTCTATCTCAGTCTGCTTGGGGTATTCACGGTCAGCTTCTGTAGCTGAGGCATCAGGTTTATCCATTCGTCTGTCCAGCTCATGGCAAGGCTTGACAAACTTTGCAGGCAGTCACCATGGACCTGTAGGCAGGAGGACACAAATATACCCCCTCCCCCAGGTTATCAGTTCTTCAGTTCTTGAGAAGTAGACAGGTTAGACAGGTTAAGTGCAGCATCATTACTCTCTCTCTCTCCCCCTCTTTTCTTTTCTTTTTTTTTTTTTTTTTTTTTAGTCCCTGCAAAAGCCATCATTACTCCCACTACAGTCCCACGTACAGAACGTGGCACAAGGACCCTGTGGAGACTAACAGCAAACCAGCTCCGAGAAGGAGAAGCATCATTGCAGTGAGAGGTGGCAGGCTCAACCTTAGCGGGGGTCCCCGCAGAGGCTCCGCCTCCCCCACATCGTATGAGGCTTGGGCTTTTATACCGACCAAAATGCACACTCGTTCCGACACAGGTGGCCAGCCTGTGCTGGAACAAGTGGCTAGCAGTATCTACAGAGGTCTCCAAGGGTTGATAGAAACCTGGACATACTTATATTTACCAACTTCTAGTACATGAGTATCACAGAGAAACTGTATGGGCTCTCCCTGTCAATTGCAAGAAAAAATCATAACATATACAGCTTGAGTATAAGAGGATTTTAACGCATACGTGGTCACCGTTTGTCAGGCCTCCTTAACTATTTTGAGATCAAGAGCTTCCCACTCTTTAGCCCCCTGCTGTGTAGTAAACACAGGATATGCCAAGATGCCCATTGCAGAAAATTCCCCAGTAATGTTCACCTCTTTGGTTACCCATTGTTACAACAGAGCGTCTCCAGGGCCAGTAAGTCTGAGCAGACCGACCCGGGAGATGAAGAGTCAGGGTCTGGAAGCAGAGGATATAAATCTGGCTCGGATTCAGGGGATTCGGGGGCTGATCCTGCGCCGAACTCGGGGTCTCCGTTGCTCGCAGCTGTGTCTTTCTTATCAGATGTCTCTCGTTCGGTATGTGGCCATCTGCAGACCTGGCTCCTCCGTGACTGAGTTAAAAATCTTTTCACTCTGGGGCATAGTGGGCTGGAGAGGCTCGCGGTTCCTTTAAATCTCCCGCTCGCGCATGATCCCTATTTTCTACTGCGTGCTTCAAAATGGCGCCGCAATCGGTCCGGCGCCGAGGCACCGCCCTCTTTCTTTCGGATTCCTCGACTTTTATCATGCGTGTACCTTCTAATATACTTTCTCTGTCCTTTTCAAAGTCCCTGCTTTCGGAACTGGGGTGGTGGGGGAGCAGGGGGTTACACCTCCTCCGCGGCACCTTCTGATGGAGGGGGAGAAAAGGGGGGGGGGAAACCCTGTGCTCCCGCGAGTTGGGGTGGGGGGGAACGAGTTGTAATCTTCCCCCGGTTTCAGCCGACCGGGGACGTCTGTTCCTAGTTTCTCCGTTGCTACCGCAGCAGTTTTCTTTTCTGCCTTGTATCTTTTTATACAGTTCATTACTTCCCTCCGTGGTTTACCGAGTTTCTTTGCCTTTTTATAATCATTAAGCACTGAGTCAAATAGTTCATCACCAAACTTTTGCCACTCACTCTCCTCAAATATTGTATTAGGATCTGCAAAAAAAATCTCTTAGCCTTCCCTACAGCCACTAGACCTGCTAGCTGCTTTAGAGTCTCAGGCTCAATTCCCCGCTTTTATAAAAAGCACTGTAAAAAGTTCAGGGCTCAGTTCCCCGCCTTTATAAGAAGCATTGTAATAAGTCCAGGGCTACCTCTCGGTCCATTTTCATGGCCAGCCTTTTCCGGATCGTCTTCTCCTGGGTCGTCCTGTAACCTCGGTCTCCGGATCGGCCTCCCGATGCAGCAGTGTCTGGTTCGCCCCAGCGGCGGATTCCTTTCGGTTAGTCCAAGCACCCGGGTCCGTCACGCCACCGCAGCAGCATTGCCCGCACTTCCCGGCCGCTGCCGCCGGCGCCGCTCACTCGCCATTCTGGGTCCCGGTCGACCGGGGCCCTGTATCCCGGGTCCCCGCTAGTCGGGGCCCTGTATCCCGGGTCCCCGCTAGTCGGAGCCCTGTATCCCGGGTCCCCGCTAGTCGGGGCCCTGTATCCCGGGTCCCCGCTAGTCGGGGCCCTGTATCCCGGGTCCCCGCTAGTCGGGGCCCTGTATCCGGGGACCCGTCAACCGGGGCCCTGTATCCCGGGTCCCTGCTAGTCGGGGCCCTGTATTCCGGGTCCCCGCTAGTCGGGGCCCTGTATCCGGGTCCCCGTCGACCGGGGCCCTGCATCCGGGTCCCCATTAAACCGGGGCCCTGTATCCCGGGTCCCCGTCGACCGGGGCCATGTATCCGGGTCCCCGTTAAACCGGGGCCCTGTATCCCGGGTCCCCGTTAAACCGGGGCCCTGTATCCCGGGTCCCTGCTAGTCGGGGCCCTGTATCCGGGTCCCCGTCGGCCGGGGCCCTGTATCCGGGTCCCCGCAGTCGGGGCCCTGTATCCCGGGTCCCCGCTAGTCGGGGCCCTGTATCCCGGGTCCCCGCTAGTCGGGGCCCTGTATCTGGGTCCCCATCGGCCGGGGCCCTATATCTGGGTCCCCGGTAACCGGGGCCCTGTAATCCGGGTCCCCGCTAGTCAGGGCCCTGTAATCCGGGTCCCCAGCGAACAGGGCCCTGTAGTCCGCATCCCTGTTCGGGCGCCATTTGTAAGCGGCGAGGAGAAGCAGACAGGCCAACCCAATACGGGTGATAAGCAACTTCTAGTTTATTTGTGACGCAGTTCACACATATATAGGAGTGGTATTCAGCCACTCCTTCTTGGCATAACAGTATTGGTTAGCCCCCACAGCTTCCTCCACATTCTCCTCCCAGGTCCGGTCTCCGGCCACCTGTGGGGGCCACCCCCTGCCTTGCTTGCACAGTCCTCCAGAACTCTATGGTCCTGCTCTTAGAGTCATTCTGCAACAGGACAGAGGAGTTTCAGTCCTGCTGAAGGGCAGCCCTCTCGCAAGGCTTTGCTGTGGCAGCTCGGCTGCAGCCCTGCTCTCGGTGGTCCCTGCACCCTCTGGTCTCTGGCAGTGTGCCCTGCCATGGCTGCACAGCTCTGCTGGGGAGGGTGGAGAGGAGAGGAGGGAAGAGGAGAAGGAAGCTCAGTGCCGGGTGCCCAGGGCAACAGAGCTGCCAGGGCAGCACCCGGGGTCCTGTAGAGCCAGGGCCCTGGACCTGGAGGCCAGCTGTGTCAGAGGTGCATGGAGCAGTGCCCCGGGGACAATGAAAGCCTAGGCAGGAAGCGTGCCTGGGCAGAGGGAAGCTATGGGGGGCAGCTTTTCGGTTGGGTAGCTTGGCTCTGCCAAAGCTCTGCTCAGGTTCCTGAGCCTTTTCTTCGACCCTTGCTGGTCAGAACGGCAGCGGGGAGCTGACGGGACATGGGGACACTTGTGAAA